TCACAGAAAAAAGAGGAATGTTACTTTTTCATAAGCAGCTTACAAAGAGGAGGTGAACAAAACTAACATGAAAGTATTATTTTTGAAGGAATATAGAGAATGTTGAGTGACAGTATTGCCACAATGCAGAAATCAGTTTATGTTTATCTCCTGAGGAGACAGTTTTATATTAGAACCTTGTCAAACCCAGGTTATACCTGGTGAACGTGATGCTGATAAGGGAAACGTAGTTTGAGCAAGTGTTGTTTTTGGTAGTTCGTTTGTTTGTGTTTTTTTCTGGTTTGTTTTTAACCTAAGGCAGAAGAGATCTGTGGGTGGGAGGCATGAAGTGGAAGAGAAAGAAAATAGTAATACAGCTTGATTCCCCCCGCCACCACCACCATAAGCATGACATTTCCTAGAAATCCCATTTTATCTAAAAAGTCAGGCCTGTAACTGGACTCCTCCCAGTGGCTCAACTTTCAGCCATGCAGTAGACAGGCTTATAAGGTGAACAATAACACTAGAAGGGTATACACTCTTTAGAACAAATCAACCACATATGGTCGAAAGAGCAGCTTTGCCCAGGGATAAAACTCAGAAGGGGGGAAGGGATAGGAAAGAAGGACAAATGGAAATGGGAAACACAGGGAGGAAGTGGGAAGAGAACTGTTATGTCATGGGGATTGCAATCAGTGTCACAAAACAAAATGTATATGAATTGTTGAATGGAAAACGAATTTGCTGTTAAACTTTCACCCAAACCACAGTAAAAAGTTTTTTAAAAAATCAATCAGATTGTGCAGTTTACTTCATGTGATTGGTTTATAAAATTAATGTTTTTCATTATTTACATTAGAATAAAAGTGATCCTCTAAATAGATAAATGCCACATTTAGCCTTTATCTTCTAGGAATCGTGCCACACTGACAAAATTCAAGGCAAGGAAGCATAACTGCTTCAATTTGATACTGTGGTAGAATTTCTCTGTGGCAAACTTCTTGCAATCCCCTATTTGGTGAAGTCCCTTCACCTTCTTATCTCTTGAAATGTGGCTTTTATTACCATTTTAATTTGGTACTCCAAAACCTAACCTGTTGCCATCGTGTCCATTCCAACTTACAACTAGCTTATAGGACAGAGTAGAACTGCCCCATGGGGTTTCCAAAGTTGTAAATCTTTTTTGCAAGTGGAGTGCCACATCTTTCTCCTGTGGAGCGGCTGGTGATTTCAAACTATCGACCTTTCAGGTAGCAGCTGAACATTTAACCACTGTGTCACCAGGGCTCCTTTTAAAAACACCAAGAGACATCAATTAGTGCAGAATTACGCACCTTATTTCAAGAATCACATTGTGATTCTAATTTATACTGGTGAGGGAAGAGGGAGACAGCACACAGTTCAGTAGAAATGTTTATCATTACAAAATGATGTGAGGAATTGCTGTAGGAACCAGAAGCAGTTAACAGGACATTATGCAGGTAAATTTTGTGGTTACAGTTTTTCGTGTAAAGGACTTATACAGTGTGGTTCGGCAGAGGGGAGGATGGAAAGGGTTTCTGCATAGAAAAATGGTATATGTATGAGGGTTTAGAGAAAGGGCTGTAAGTGATTGTGATGGTTATTGTTGATTGTTAAAAACTATCAGGCCTTTCTAGAACAGGGAACACAAGAGCCAATGGGAAGCACCTTCTTTTGTGGAAAGAGTGCTGGTCTGGGTGACCTTGATTTGACATCTGGCACTGCCGCTGATGTGCTGAGCGCCCTTGGAGAAGTCAGTTAACCTTCCTGGACCTAGTTTTCTTATCTTTAAATTGAGAGAGTTGAAATATGTGATCTGTAATTTACCTTCCAGCACTAGCATTCAGTGATTCTGACTTATCTGTCAAATGAGGTAGTCTGGGACTTTTTGCTTCAAGGGTTAGTTTCTGCTATAACTGCCGTTTACCTTGGAGCTTTACCCAGAGACCAACCTTAAAATCTGAGCCATTCAAATATCACTTTGCCTTGCCTCTCATCTACTTCTGCTGGTTCTTGAATACGTGCCTTTCGCTTTCTGCTGCTGTTTCCCTCATTCAGCATGTCCTTCAGAACCCTTCTTCTGAACTGTTGCTTGCACTAATGTCACCTTGCCTCCCACTCATTGCCACTAGAATTCATTTTAGACACTTCAGCTATATTAGTCTCACTGTGCCTCTTCTCTATAAAAATAAACTGTAGTGGATCTCCATTGTCATCCAAAGAAAGGCCAAACTCATTAGCTCAGTATTCAGTATCATCTATCAATCTTAGCTCACATTACTCCCCTTCACATAATCTACAAAACGTTTAGACTGAACTTAATAGCCTCTCAGTGCCTTTGCTTGTGTTATCCCCTACACCTAGTTATGCTCTGCCTATCCTCCCATTGTCAGTCAAAATTTTCCCATTTCAAGTGCCACCTTCATGAAATCTCTCGGGCTTCGCACAGCCAAAAGTAATCCTTTTTTCCTCAATTCCCATAGCACCCAGAGCACCTTTTCTGTACCTATTAGTGCTAATTACTTTGTTTTTATCTTCTGTACCATCTTATCTCTTCCAACAAAGCTCCCTGGTGCTCAGGAAGGTACTATATTATCTTACCTAGAGTTGGGTACCCAGTAAATATTTGTTGAATCAATGAATTAAACTTCAGATCCTTGTTGTTTCTGGGTGGTAGGGTTTCTTATTTTGCTAAATAACCAACCACTGATGAGAATGTAGAAAAGAACTCTGTCCATAGGAATTAATAAATTAATATAATAAGAATAAGAACCATGGTGTAGATGTGTTAAATTCCCAAAATTGTATTTTAAGTCAAGCAAAATGTTTTCAAGCTTGAGCCTGTTTTTTTTTAATTTTGGATTGCATTTCCAAACTTGGGCTTTCAAGGCTGTATAAAATATCTTCATTTTCAGTTGAACTACCCCACAATAGTTTGTAGTTTGTGCCAATTAGTAAGCTTAGCAATTTTGGTGTGTGTGTGTGTGGGGGGGGGTTGTGACGTTTTTACTGTGAGTAGTTACAAACTTAGGAGTTTTCTGTCATTTACAAGAGGCTTAGTACTTTTTATAGTTGAAGCAGACTACCCACTTTAGTACACACTATCCTATAATCCAGGAGCTCTGGTGGTGTAGTACCTAAGACATTTGAAGGCTGTCGGTTCAACCTCACCAGCCACTCCTCGGAAGGAAGGTTAGGCAGTCTACTTCCATAGTAATACCACCTCAGAAACCCAAGGAGGGGTCGCTATAAGTTGAAATTGACTCTGCGGCAGTGAGTGTGATTTTGGATCATAATTCTACTTGACAGTATACAACCACTACCACCATATAATTGTTAAGTGTAATATACTTACATTTAATGTTTTCAAAACCAATAATAAAATCTGGAGACATTAATATTTTTATGGGTTATAGATCTAGTTATAGGCTAATTAACCCATAGCAGACCCTTGGTACAAGGTTTCCATGCAGATACTAGACAACATCCTGGTGAAGAAACTGCTGGCAAACTTCTGTAGTGTACAGGTTGATGACTTAGAGTCTCTTCCATCATGTCAGACAAATTAGTTTATTTGGGGGATTTGAGAAAAGAAATAGAATCCCTTAAAATTTCCCACTGTCACTCTTTATCCTAGTAGCCTCTGTTAGCTAATCTTTGTTTAGAATACTGTGCTGAGGTGAGTTAAATCTTTGGCATTGTCTCCCTAAACTCCAAGGAAGTTAAATCCATCTCACTTAGGATTAGACCATTAACATAGGCATTACCTCACTTTTCTCCAGATGATGTAAGATTAATATCAGTTCTAGCAATCTCCTATTATCAGTCATATTTCTGTTTTTTTAAAAGGGAACACAAGATCTGATTGCATTGCCATCAAGTCAATACTAACTCATAGTTGACCCTATTAAAAGCTCTGGTGGCATAGTGCCTAAGGCATTTGACTGCTAACCAGAAGACTGGCGGTTCAAACCCACCAGCCACTCCTTGGAAGGAAGATTGGGCAATCTACTTCCGTAGTGATACTGCCTCAGAAACCCAAAGAGGGGTGGCTGTGATATGCCACATACTTGATGGCAATGTATGACAGAGTAGAACTTCCCCACAGGATTTCCAAGGCTGAAATCTTTACAGAAGCAGTTTTCTTCTCATCTTTCTCCCACAGAGTACATGTGGGTTTTAACCTCTAACCTTCCATTTAGCAGCTGAACTCTAACCACTGCACCACCATTTACATTAGTGTAGTGTCCCCAAAATAAACCATTTCTTAACCAAACCCACTGCCATCAAGTCGATTCCAAGTCATAGTAGCCCTAGGACAGAGTAGAACTACCCATAGGGTTTCTGAGCCTGTAAATATTTACGGAAGCAGACTGCTTCATCCTTCTCCTGTAGAACAGCTGACCTGGTAAGTTCAAACCACCCACCTTTTGGTTAGCAGCTGAATGCCTTAACCATGGTGCCACCACAGCTCCTCTTTATTGGTATAGTGTCCCAGAAATGAAAATTGCCACATTACTTTCTACCCGTTCAGGTTGGTTTAAATTATAGTGGTTCTTTAAAGCTTTTGCAGGTGATTTATGGTTGAAACTGCTAAATAAATAAAGAATACTTTGTAATCAATTACGTGATTGCTCCCTTATTCTCTCTTGTCATGAAAATAAAAAGCAATACAGCATATTTATATAAATTAAGCTCTCTGACAGCTATGCAGCTAGCATTGATTTATAGAAAGAGATATATATGTTTCTTGTTGTATGCAGATAATAGGAGTGGGGCTTGATAAGGAGCAATGGGATAAATACACCCCAGGAAAAACACAAAGCTGAGTTCTAGTTACTCTTCTAGAAGCAGCTTTGAGAGGAAGTGCAGGATTGAACAAGCAGTTCTGCTACACTGACCTTTAAGTTACTTGGGGCTTGAGCAGGAAGAAGAGGTGGCAGACAGATTTTATGAAATCTTTGTCTGTGTTTGATCTAATCAATCTCAATCTCTCTCAGGAGTTAGAAGCAGCTCTTCATAGAGATGACGTGGAGTTTATCAGTGACCTGATCGCCTGCCTGCTTCAGGGCTGCTATCAACGAAGAGATATCACGTGAGTAATCCTGATCTTAGTATTTCTTGCAAAGGAGACTAATTAGCCCCATCATCATGATGTTTCATGTCTCCTGTAACAAACCAGAACTGATTATTAGCCAATAAGTAACTGTATAGGCGGACTATATAAAAGTGGGTCCCCAGGCCCAGTGTCTGGCTCCTTCTGCAGTTAAATTTTTATTCTGTTAAAATCTTTGCATTTACTTCATTCTCACAAATCTATACTGTCCTTTATTCTTGGATACCACAGCTAACATGTTCAATTGTAGAATTTCTTCCTCTTACTGTGTATGTGTTTCTTCCTAGTTTTTATTTGCAGCACTGATAAAATGTTGCCTAATAAATTAAAACTAAATTTCACTACATTAGTGCCACTCATGTATCTTCTGTTGGTCACATAACCAGTAGTGTGATTCCTCTACCCATAACTGCAAAGTAAATAGCTCTCTGCACCTTTGAGATGTATAGACATTTACAGCACAATTTTATCTGTTTAGGCAACGGGGCTTCCTGACATGGCCTTTTCCTTTGTTTTGACTCTAACTTTTTTACTTGCCACATTTTTGTGCAGAACAGAACTATAGGGAAAACTTGCAAAATGCTGAGACAGATAGGTTCCCCGTCTCTTGCTTGCCCTTCCAATGCCATACGAAGATTTGAGTTGTTAGGATTTATATTTTCAGGCAGTCAAAGATGGTGTCTCAGATATTTTTGTTCTAATAAATTCACTTTCAGGTATCTGTTAGGGTTGGGAAACTTGTGAGTGAGAAAGATTGACTATACACCATTTTTTCAGGGTGGAAATCCCTATTCATCAGGGGAGAGTTATTGTGCCGGGGCTCACTCTTAATATAACAACTGTTTTTCCCTAGAATACGCAGATTTTTGCAAAACAGTGATTATAAAGAAAAATTAATTTCTCATCTTACCATCCAAACATGGCAATTCTAAGTTTGTCTTCTGCCATTTTCTTTTTGGGATGTAGACTTTAGAGTTAGTGGGTTTTAAGCAGTTGTACTCATACTGTGTATATAATTTCACACCATGATTTTGTTTTTTTTCCATTATAAAAGTGTATTTTTCTTACAACCACCTTTTAAATGCTGTTGTCAAATAATTCAATCTGGTAAATGGAGTATGTGTCTAGCTTTCAATTATTGTAAACACTCTATGATAGAATAGTGCCTAAGGCACTTGACTGCTAATCAGAAGGCTGGTGGTTCAAACCCACCAGCCACTCCTTGGAAGGAAGATGGGGCAATCTACTTCTGTAGTGATACTGCCTCAGAAACCTTTCAAGGGTTGCTATGAGTCGGGTCCAACTCAACGGCACATAACAACAACACCAACACAAACATAAATCTTTGCACACCTATTGAATTACCTTTTTAGTATAAATTTTTGGAAGTGAAATCATTTAAGTGTTTTGACACATTGCCAGGCTGCCATCACAAGACTTGTTCTGTTTTATCCTTAAACCATCAATGAGTTCATTAGGTTCTCTGTGTTCTCAAACCTTATGAACTCTAGACCTTACCTACTAGAAGCTGGACTCTAGGTCCTGGCAGGACAAATACTCCTCTAGCCCTCATGTAGTTTATAATCTTGTGCTGGGTGAGAGTGGATGTCTAACAGTGACAACAATGCTTATTCAATTAGAAATTTAAAAATCACTGTGATAAGTGTTCTGAAGTAAAAGTATAGTGTGTCAACAGAGAGTGAAACCTGGTGTGAGGAGCCTTCACATATGGTCATATGCAGACTGGTCCCTGCATATTATCAGGGCAAATAAATGAGTGAGTGAGAATGAGTGGGTAGTGAATGAATGAAGGAATGAACCCACCAAAAAACTATAGATAGGCAAGTGGTTTTCTCTCGGGGTCTGAAGCAAAAACAATTTAATGGCGTAGAGGTTACATACAAAATAGAGGGCCAAGTGTTCTGAAATAGGATTTGTTTGAGCTGCAGTCTTGATGCCTAAAAAAAGTGTTAAATTTTAATTTATTGCCAACATCTAAAAATAAGGTTTTACATTTAAAAATCCCAATTTGTAGCTTCTAGTAAACATCTGGAGCCTCAAGGTGGTCCAAACAATTAATGCTCTCAGCTGCTAACCCAAAGATTGGTGGTTCGAGTCCTCCCAGAGGAGCTCTAGGAAAAAGCCCTGGTAATCTCCTGAAAAGTCAAACCTTATGAAGCACATTTCTACTCTTGACACACACATGGGATCATGATGAGTTGGAGTCAACTTGATGGCATCTGCTTTGGTATGGCATAGAAAACATCTAATGATCTAGCACTGTACAGCATTCCTTCTGTGAGGACAACCATCAACTGGAAGGAAAATAGGGCCCATTTGCTGTGTTACTCCCGCATGCTAAGACTTAGTGTCACTCACCGTTTGTCCTTTTTTTCCTGTTCCACCTCGCCTATTTTCTGTACCTGCCTGGCTTCTAAAGACATTTGAGTTTGCAAGGAATCCAGCGTGGCTATACAGCACAATAAGAATTAGAGCCTTTGATGGGTAAGGCATTTGGCTGCTAACCAGAAGGTTGGCAGTTGAAACCCACCAATTGCTCCACAGGAGAAAGATGAGGCAATCTACTTCTGAAAAGATTCTCAGCCTTGGAAACCAAGTGGGTTGGAATTGATCAGTGGCTGTGGGTTTGATTTTAGTTTTGATTTAGGTTGGGTTAAGCATTTGTGGTATAATTCTGAGTGCAGGGAAAATTTGTGGGTTTTTTTTTTTTTTTTTTT